GGATACAATTGTGTACACTGGAAGTAATACATTGCGAGATACCAGGAAGTTACTGGGTATCTCCGGTGATGTGGTTAGAGCAATGATGGAACCATATCTTGGTAAGGGACATACATTATATTCTGATAACTGGTACAAAGCCTTTTAGTCAGTGATTTCTTGCGAGTGAACATGGCAGATGTGTGTGGCATAGTGCGTGCAAATCGTAAACATATGCCCAGGTTCAATGCTGGCACTCGTAGAGGTGAGGTGCAGGCGTTTGCTGCCAATAACATTATGGCATTCGGTGACATGACAAACGAGATGTCACACTGTTGTCATCAGTTCACCCTAATGAAATGGCAGACACTGGCAGGCAGCATAGAGAAAGCAATGAACCCATTCTAAAACCTGCAGCTGTGACTGACTACACCCTCAATATGCATTCAGTGGACAAATGTGACATGCAGATTGGGTTTGCTGATTGGGTTTGCAAGAGTTATAAGTGGTACATAAAACTCTGTTTCCATATTCTGGACATTTCCATGCTCAATGCTTATAATATATGTATATAAGATGAAGACCAGAAACAAACCACCATATGGCGAATTTTGTTTGTCTGTCGTCAGACAAATAATAATCAAGTACCAAGGAACAGCACCTGCAATAGAAAACAGCCCACGTAATTATCAACAACTACTTTCTCGTCTGAAGCATGGTGATCACTTCCTAACAAAACTGCCTGCTACTACTTTCAAGAAAAAGGCTCAGAAGAGGTGTTACGTCTGTGCACATACAAAAACACGCCCACAACAACACAGAGACACTCGTTTTATGTGTGAGGAGTGTAAAACACCACTGTGCATGACACCATGTTTCAAAGACTTCCACAGGCTGCAGAACTTCTAGAAACATTCCCTGTGACTGTATATGTGTATATAAAATATAGAAAAATAGTAATAAACAACATTTTGTATTGTTCGTTTGTGTAAATAAGTTTTGTAAACAAAATAGTGACAACAGTGTTTGTGCAGTTATTGTGTAGTACTGCATAGAAAAAGAAATAACGTACAAAATAGTGCTCATATTGGTCTCACAGGCCATAAAAGTAACTTGAAAAAAAAATTAAAAAATAAAAGAAAATAGTACTAAAAAAAAAATAAAGTAATACCGGGTGACCGGCAGTCGGCGATGTTACCGTATGCCGGTCATTTTCTGTCAACTTCACGCCTCCATATCTTGGTAAGTATTGAAGGTAAAAAATTTTTTTTAGCCTATAAAATTTAGAAAAGAAAAAACACTGTCTTTTCATAAGAATTTTTTTTTTTTTTTTTTTTTTTACCGACTCTGAGAACAGATTTGGGAGAGGGCCTGCCGACCCTGAAAGGGTTAAGCATTATGGTGCTGTATGGCCTTTGATGGCCTGTTGGAATGTGAGTGAGATAATGCGTATTTATAGAGGGATTCAGGGAAACTGGTTAACCAGACTTGAGTCCTGGAGGTGGAAAGTACAGCGCCTCCACTCTGAAGGAGGGGTAGAGATATTTGCACTTTTAAACTGTAGTGTCACTGCACTTCTGGCAAGACAGTGATGGTGATGCAAGACAGTGATGCTGTCAATTTTGTCAAGGTTGGGAACCAAAGCAATCATAGTACTAGGGGGAGAGAGCACAACTTTGTAGTACCCACAGTCAGTGGCCAGGCTTCAAACACCTTTTATTGTACAGCAATAAAGGAATGGAACAGACTGCCCGCACATGTCAAAGCCAGTCATAGCATGAACCAGTTCAAGAAGAGTGCCAAAAGGTGTCTGATGAATGTAGCTACAGAAAGGGAGGGGAATGATTTTCTATTTTTTAGCTAACATACGTGTAAATTTTACCTTATTCCTAGTAATGACCCTCGTATTGTAGATAGTCTTAATAACCCTCGTGTAGTAGATAGTCTTTTAGTATGATAATAAGATAATAGATGGGAAAAGAGGAAGGTGGCAACAACAAGTAAGAGGGAGGTGAAAGTGTATAAACTAAGGGAGGAGGAAGTTCGGGTGAGATATAAGCCACTATTGGCAGAAAGGTGGGCTAGTGCAAAGATGAGTAGTGGGGGGGTTGAAGAGGGTTGGAATAGTTTTAAAAATGCAGTATTAGAATGTGGGGCAGAAGTTTGTGGTTATAGGAGGGTGGGGGCAGGAGGAAAGAGGAGTGATTGGTGGAATGATGAAGTAAAGGGTGTGATAAAAGAGAAAAAGGTAGCTTATGAGAGGTTTTTACAAAGCAGAAGTGTTATAAGAAGAGCAGAGTATATGGAGAGTAAAAGAAAGGTAAAGAGAGTGGTGAGAGAGGCAAAAGGAGAGCAGATGATAGAGTGGGAGAGGCACTGTCAAGAAATTTTAATGAAAATAAGAAAAAAATTTTGGAGTGAGTTAAACAAGTTAAGAAAGCCTAGGGAAAGTATGGATTTGTCAGTTAAAAACAGAGTAGGGGAGTTAGTAGATGGGGAGATGGAGGTATTAGGTAGATGGTGAGAATATTTTGAGGAACTTTTAAATGTTAAGGAAGAAAGAGAGGCAGTAATTTCATGCACTGGCCAGGGAGGTATTACCATCTTTTAGGAGTGAAGAACAGCAGAATGTAAGTGTGGGGGAGGTACGTGAGGCATTACGTAGAAATGAAAGGGGGTAAAGCAGCATGAACGATGAGATCATGACAGAAATGTTAAAAGCAGGGGGGGGATATAGTGTTTGGAGTGGTTGGTACTTTTGTTTAATAAATGTATGAAAGAGGGGAAGGTACCTAGGGATTGGCAGAGAGCATGTATAGTCCCTTTATATAAAGGGAAAGGGGACAAAAGAGACTGTAAAAATTATAGAGGAATAAGTTTACTGAGTATACCAGGAAAAGTGTACGGTAGGGTTTTAATTGAAAGAATTAGAGGTAAGACAGAATGTAGGATTGCGGATGAGCAAGGAGGTTTCAGAGTGGGTAGGGGATGTGTAGATCAAGTGTTTACATTGAAGCATATATGTGAACAGTATTTAGATAAAGGTAGGGAAGTTTTTATTGCATTTATGGATTTAGAAAAGGCATATGATAGAGTGGATAGAGGAGCAATGTGGCAGATGTTGCAAGTACATATATGGAATAGGTGGTAAGTTATTAAATGCTGTAAAGAGTTTTTATGAGGATAGTGAGGCTCAGGTTAGGGTGTGTAGAAGAGAGGGAGACTACTTCCCGGTAAAAGTAGGTCTTAGACAGGGTTGTGTAATGTCACCATGGTTGTTTAATATATTTATAGATGGGGTTGTAAAGGAAGTAAATGCTAGGGTGTTCGGGAAGAGGGGTGGGATTAAATTTTGGGGAATCAAATTCAAAATGGGAATTGACACAGTTACTTTTTGCTGATGATACTGTGCTTATGGGAGATTCTAAAGAAAAAATTGCAAAGATTAGTGGATGAGTTTGGGAATGTGTGTAAGGTAGAAAGTTGAAAGTGAACATAGAAAAGAGTAAGGTGATGAGGGTATCAAATGATTTAGATAAAGAAAAATTGGATATCAAATTGGGGAGGAGGAGTATGGAAGAAGTGAATGTTTTCAGATACTTGGGAGTTGACGTGTCGGTGGATGGATTTATGAAGGATGAGGTTAATCATAGAATTGATGAGGGAAAAAAAGGTGAGTGGTGTGTTGAGGTATATGTGGAGTCAAAAAAACATTATCTATGGAGGCAAAGAAGGGAATGTATGAAAGTATAGTAGTACCAACACTCTTATATGGGTTTTGAAGCTTGGGTTGTAAATGCAGCAGCGAGGAGATGGTTGGAAGCAGTGGAGATGTCCTGTTTAAGGGCAATGTGTGGTGTAAATATTATGCAGAAAATTCGGAGTGTGGAAATTAGGAAAAGGTGTGGAGTTAATAAAAGTATTAGTCAGAGGGCAGAAGAGGGGTTGTTGAGGTGGTTTGGTCATTTAGAGAGAATGGATGAAAGTAGAATGACATGGAAAGCATATAAATCTATAGGGGAAGGAAGGCGGGGTAGGGGTCATCCTCGAAAGGGTTGGAGAGAGGGGGTAAAGGAGGTTTTGTGGGCAAGGGGCTTGGACTTCCAGCAAGCGTGCGTGAGCGTGTTAGATAGGAGTGAATGGAGATGAATGGTACTTGGGACCTGACGATCTGTTGGAGTGTGAGCAGGGTAATATTTAGTGAAGGGATTCAGGGAAACCGGTTATTTTCATATAGTCAGACTTGAGTCCTGGAAATGGGAAGTACAGTGCCTGCACTTTAAAGGGGGGTTTGGGATATTGGCAGTTTGGAGGGATATGTTGTGTATCTTTATACGTATATGCTTCTAAACTGTTGTATTCTGAGCACCTCTGCAAAAACAGTGATAATGTGTGAGTGTGGTGGAAGTGTTGAATGGTGATGAAAGTATTTTCTTTTTGGGGATTTTCTTTCTTTTTTGGATCACCCTGCCTCGGTGGGAGACGGCCAACTTGTTAAAAAAAAAAAAATGTTATCTTCATTATAGAATAATAAGAAAATATTATAACCTTTATATTTTAATAATAAGGTAAAAGGACCCCAATGGAAATAAGTCACTCTGTCTGACTTTTTTGGGTTATCCCAGGTTCTCTACACATATTCTGCTATGTATGATAATTCTATGTAACTGTATTTGTGTATACCTGAATAAACTTACTTACTTACTTATTTCTTCTTATTTAGGGTCACCCTACCTTGTTGGGAGATGGCTGGTTTGTTGAAAAAAAAAAAATTAGCACTGGCCTTCTCCTACCATGGCAGGGTGACCCCGAAAAAGAAGAAATGAAACTTCTCCTCTCTTTTCATTTAGTAATTTATAGAGGAGAAGGCTTTACTAGTCCATTGCTTTCAGTATTATAGTCACCTCATGTGATTTGCATGGCTTATGGAGGAATGATTCTTATCCACTTCCCCATGGAATAATAATATTAAAAATACGTAATATGAGCCTGAGTTCTTAATTATTTCATAAACTTTCCAGAACCAGATCCAGTGATTTGTGGAGCCAAAGGTCGTGCCTTTGTGATAGAACCAGAGGAGGTGGAAGAGGATGAAGAAGAAGCACTAAATGGGGAACTTGTAGATGAAGATGAAGAAGATGAGGTCAGTGATGAAGCATCAGATTCACCTCACATGAGTGACGAGGATGAGCAACGTGAGCATGGTGAGTCACGAGAGAAAGACAATAACTAGGTTGAAAATGAATATGATATGATAAATAATAAATGATATGATAAAGAAGGGGTTTGGGATATTGATTGGAATGACATTTAAACTGTCATATCTGGGTGCCTCTGCAAAGACAATGATTATGTGTGAATGATGGTGAAAGTGTTTCTTTTTTGGGTCATCCTGCCTTAGTGGGAAAAAGTAAATAAATAACTACTGTGACTGAATATATAAATAAATAATTACTGTGACTAACTAAATACTACAGTGGTACCTTGAATTTCGAACAGCTCCCGACTCGAACAATTATGTAAGTGTATTTTTGTAAGTGATTTTGTAAGTGTAATTTTGGGGGTCTGAAACGGACTTATCTAATTTACATTTTTCCTTATGGGAACAAATTCGTTCGGTAATGGCACTCAAACAAACAGCCTTCTGGAACGAATTAAAGCTGAAATTCAAGGTACCGATGTACTATTATTGAAAAGTAAATAAATGAATGCAAGTTTATCCTATCAATAAATGTACAGCACAAAAATAGTTTTATCATTCCATTGTAAAATCGAAATATCGTAAACCAAACCATAGTAAAGCACGGAGCATCTGTAATGTGATAAGTTAATCATTTCACTCCCCTTCTGGGGTCCTATTTGCTGAAGAGGACCCCAGCAGGGGGGCCAAAATATACAAGCCAATTAATTTTCTGAGTTTCAAACTCCATGGGGTATTATTATTGAGCAATGACAAGTGTTCATTGCTCACACTAGGATGAAACACCTTTTCAGTAGCTAATTTTTTCAATAACTTTGTAAATTAGAATTGATTATTTCCAGAAAGTACTGTATATAATTATCAGAAAGTTTTAAGAAAGGCTTCCACAGGTAATCTGTCACTTGTCATAGGTGGATAAAACACCTTTGGTATTGATCATTTTGCTTAGTATAAGGCGGATGGATTTATGAAGGATGAGGTTAATCATAGAATTGATGAGAGAAAAAAGGTGAGTGGTGCGTTGAGGTATATGTGGAGTCAAAAAACGTTATCTATGGAGGCAAAGAAGGGAATGTATGAAAGTATAGTAGTACCAACACTCTTATATGGGTGTGAAGCTTGGGTGGTAAATGCAGCAGCGAGGAGACGGTTGGAGGCAGTGGAGATGTCCTGTTTAAGGGCAATGTGTGGTGTAAATATTATGCAGAAAATTCGGAGTGTGGAAATTAGGAGAAGGTGTGGAGTTAATAAAAGTATTAGTCAGAGGGCAGAAGAGGGGTTGTTGAGGTGGTTTGGTCATTTAGAGAGAATGGATCAAAGTAGAATGACATGGAAAGCATATAAATCTATAGGGGAAGGAAGGCGGGGTAGGGGTCGTCCTCGAAAGGGTTGGAGAGAGGGGGTAAAGGAGGTTTTGTGGGCAAGGGGCTTGGACTTCCACCAAGCGTGCGTGAGCGTGTTAGATAGGAGTGAATGGAGACGAATGGTACTTGGGACCTGACGATCTGTTGGAGTGTGAGCAGGGTAATATTTAGTGAAGGAATTCAGGGAAACCGGTTATTTTCATATAGTCGGACTTGAGTCCTGGAAATGGGAAGTACAATGCCTGCACTTTAAAGGAGGGGTTTGGGATATTGGCAGTTTGGAGGGATATGTTGTGTATCTTTATATGTGTATGCTTCTAGACTGTTGTATTCTGAGCACCTCTGCAAAAACAGTGATAATGTGCGAGTGTGGTGAAAGTGTTGAATGATGATGAAAGTATTTTCTTTTTGGGGATTTTCTTTTTTTGGGTCACCCTGCCTCGGTGGGAGACGGCCGACTTGTTGAAAAAAAAAAAAAAAAAAAAAAGTTTAAGAATGGCTTCCAGATGTAAGATGTGAAACATTTTGTGAACGAGGCCCATAAAAAAAGTGTTAGATTTAACCTATCTGAGCTAGAACATTATTTTTTTTTTTCCAACAAACCGGCCATATCCTACCAAGGCAGGGTGGCCCAAAAAGAAAAACGAAAGTTTCTCTTTTTAAATTTAGTAATTTATACAGGAGAAGGGATTACTAGGCCCTTGCTCCCAGCATTTTAGTCGCCTCTTACAACACGCATGGCTTACAGAGGAAGAATTCTGTTCCACTTCCCCATGGAGATAAGAGGAAATAAACAAGAACAAGAACTAGAAAGAAAATAGCAGAAAACCCAGAGGGGTGTGTATATATATACTTGTACATGTATGAGTAGTGTGACCTAAGTGTAAGTAGAAGTAGCAAGACGTACCTGAAATCTTGCATGTTTCTTCTTTCTTTCAACACACCAGCCGTATCCCACCGAGGCGGGGTGGCCCAAATGGAAAAACGAAAGTTTCTCCTTTTACATTTAGTAATATATACAGGAGAAGGGGTTACTAGCCCCTTGCTCCCAGCATTTTAGTCGCCTCTTATAACACGCATGGCTTACGGAGGAAGAATTCTGTTCCATTTCCCCATGGAGATAAGAAATAAACAAGAACAAGAACTAGAAAGAAAATAGAAGAAAACCCAGAGGGGTGTGTATGTATTTATATGCTTGTACATGTACGTGTAATGTGACCTAAGTGTAAGTAGAAGTAGCAAGATGTACCTCAAACCTTGCATGTTCATGAGACAGAAAACAGGACACCAGCAATCCTACTATCATGTAAAACAATTACAGGTTTCCATTTAACACTCACTTGGCAGGACGGTAGTACCTCCCTGGGCGGTTGCTGTCTACCAACCTACTACTTACAAGAACATTGTTATGATTGTTATAATCATGGGGAGTGCTAAACCTGTAGGATTATACAGCACATATGGGGGGGATGGAAGGTATTCAGACTCAATTCAGGGAACCGGAGCACAGATCCAATTCCCTAGATCAAGAGCCCCTCACCAACGTCAATGAACCTCCCTTGAGGGGTGAGCTAGAACAAGCTTACAGACTCTTGACTTCAATGTGCCAGTATTATGTACCATTTTACATGTGTTAAACGGGATATAATAAACTCGAATCAAGCTGTAGCAGTGTTTAGTTTAGCATTATTAAATTCTATTACCCATAATTCTCCTGTTTTTCCCCCATAAATAAAGGAGGTAATTCATTGTTAATTTCTCAGATCTGGTTTTACAAAATTTTGCTTAAAATTGGCACACATTGTATATTAGGTTGCATCATATATTATAGATATCCAGCATTCTGAATTCAATTTAGAAAAAGCTTGACTTAATTCGGTCTTTATTTCTATAAGCATAATGAAAAAATACACAGATTGAGGTGACCTTCACCAGATGAATTAGACACATAAACAAAGTAAACCTTTTATTTAGACCTGGGAATGGTATGTAAACACTGACGAGATGGCGTAAATGACGCTACAATGCAGCAGATATCTACATTAATGATTGTTTTGCCCACAGATATCTACATTAATGATTAACGTTTTGCCCACACATTACAGCCAAAATGTTGTTAAATTATCTGCTGCATATATTAATATTTTATATCTTTTTAGCTTTTGTGTTCATGTCAGATTAAAATTTTGAGGCCTTTGCATCTTTCTGATTTAGCTTCATTTTTAATGAATTTCAGTGGTTCTAAATGTCCTAGTTCAGAGGGTCATTTAAATAACATTTTCATGCTTCTTCTAGGACAGCTAAGGGTTAATGTGTTTCCTTCTTTGGGTCACTTTTCCTTGATGGTCAAGATAGTAATTTCTGTATTGATGTATGCTTAATACACTAACTACACGAAGTTTGACATTATTGTTTCAGAGTTCAAGCGTGAAATGATGGAGAGTCTTACAAATGCTTGCGCGAGTCATCAGCATCGGAGAATGTGGTTTTAGAAATTAATGCCTCACGTCATGCTTATAACATGAGCATGGAAGATGTCCTCACCACTGTGACTCAGGTGAGTGGAGATATTGTGTTCTCCTTATGTGATCAAGCCTTACCACAAGCAGGGATTGAACTCGTGGCGAATGAGTTGTAAAAACTCCAGGTCAGCGCATAAGCCACTGGGCCAGCTGGCTAACGTGCTGGCCTGTAGTTTTACGACTCGCCTGCCATGAGTTCAAGCCCCACCCATGGTATAGTTTGTTTGTAATCGTGTCATTACGATTTTGTGACTCACTCCTTACATGATATTTGTTATTAGCATCATGCATGTTCACTGCACTTGTTATTTTGGCATAGTGATTATTTGATTAATGGCCCAAGTCAAACTGAAACGTCATAAGTTTCACTCTGTGTACGGGTTATTTGTGTGCTGTTCCAGTCATGGTATTGTGCCTTTTCATTCTTGATTATTTATTAAGAAGATAAGAAGAGCAGTGCAGTAAGCCTCCCAGCCCATGGTAGGCAGGTCCCAATCACACTCACATATTCAAGGTTGAATTTGTAAATGAATAGTATAAAATACTGACAAGATGAAGAAATAGACACGTGCAACATCTGGGTGTCTTTATTTGTAGACATTTCATCATCCAGTGGCTTTATCAGTACAATTTGTATTGATAGAGCCACTGGATGGCAAAATATCTACAAATAAAAACACACAGATGTTGCATATGTGTTAATTCCTCAAAGCTGGACTTATTCAGTCCCTCTCACCCTTTTCTTCACGAAGTCCAGGATGCTTTTCCGGCTGCATTTCTCACACGTCTGTTTTTTTTCTGCTAGTATCCTAGCCCCACTAACATTTCTGGCAATGAAGATGTAGAGTTGAAGCATGTCTTGTCAGATCCCATGGGTCCATAAGCCCTGTCTCTTTTATGTAATGACTGTCTTTTCTTCAGGTGCTGAGCACCACAAAGACTGAACTTTTTAGACTGAAACCTGTTGTTGGGCATTAATGTGCTCTAGCTTTTGTTTTCCTCATAAGAAGACATCCTGATGCACCTGGGGATCAGGCATATTAACCTGACTCATGGATATGTGCATAGATCAGTGTATCTTCTATCTCTCCACCAGTAGCAGTGCCAGGGTCTAACATCAAAGGAAGCAAGGACATAAAAGAAAGGTGCCAAATAAAATCATTCTAATTTTATTATATATGTTTAGACTTTTTTTTTATTTTTCTTAGAGAGAATAATTTTACATTGAATACATGCTGTTTTGTATTAGAAATTCAACCACAGTAAAAATAGTTTTACAAGAAGTACAGCTGAAAAAGGCATAGGCAAAAAAAAAAAAAAAAGGCACTGAATATGTTCAGGGGAGAAGCTGCTTTCCTTGCTAAACCACTCTTTCTTAGCTACACAATTGTTCTCTGCTCTCCACCATTTTAAAGTCTTTAACATTGATCTTTTTCAGGATTCTTTCCCCTGATCTTCAATTTTTGTATTTTATCTCAGATTTAACTTGCTTTGTTTTTTTTTTTCAAACTTTTCATAACACACTTACAGTTCTTTATTACTTCTTCTTTCAACAAATCAGCTGTATCCCACCCAGGCAGGGTGGCCCAAAAAGAAAAACAAAGGTTTCTCTTTTTAACTCTAGTAATGTATACAGGAGAAGGGGTTACTAGCTCCTTGCTCCCGGCATTTTAGTTTCCTCTTATGACACATATGGCTTACGAAGGAAGAATTCTGTTCCACTTCCCCATGGAGATAAGAGGAAATAAACAAGTACTAGAACTAGCAAGAAAATAGCAGAAAACCCAGAGAAGTGTGTGTATATATGTATATACTTGTACAGGCATGTGTAGTGTGACCTAAGTGTAAGTAGAAACAGCAAGACATACCTGAAATTTTGCATGTTTATGAGATAGAGACACCAGCAATCCTACCATTGTGTAAAACAATTACAGGCTTTTGTTTTACACTCACTTGGCAGGACGGTAGTACCTCCCTGGGTGGTTGCTGTCTACCAACCTACTACCTACCTTCTTTATTACTTCTTCTTTCAACAAACTGGCCTTATCCCACCCAGGCAGGGTGGCCCAAAAAGAAAAACAAAAGCTTCTCTTTTTAACTTTAGTAATGTATACAGGAGAAGGGGTTACTAGCCCCTTGTTACTGGCATTTTAGTCGCCTCTTACGACACGCATGGCTTACAAAGGAAAAATTCTGTTCCACTTCCCCATGGAGATAAGAGGAAATAAACAAGTACAAGAACTGGTAAGAAAATAACAGAAAACCCAGAGGGGTGTGTATATACATATATGCTTGTATGTGCATGTGTAGTGTGACCTAAGTGTAAGTAGAAGTAGCAAGACGTACCTGAAATCTTGCAAGTTTATGAGATAGAAAAGAGACACTAGTAATCCTAACATCGTGTAAAACAATTACAGGCTTTTGTTTTACACTCACTTAGCAGGATGGCAGTACCTCTCTGGGCAGTTGCTATCTACCAACCTACTACCTACCTTCTTTATTACTTATATGTGCTAAATATATTACTGCAATATTTTTGTCGGTGAATGAAACACGTGTACAGTATTTGGGTATCTTTACTGCCAAAATGTTTCACCCTCACAAAAGATTTCTTCTGTTGAATGCAGTCAGTTATAACACTGGAGACTTATATTTGCCTTGTATACCACTAGTAAAAAAACATTTTGTGTTAAGTACATTATAATCTGTTTTAAAAGAGTCCTAACTTTGACATTGCAGGGCATCATCCGTGCAGGTGAGGACAAGATTTCAGAAGATTGTAGTGTGGAAAGTTTATGGCGAACCGTTAAGATTTCAATAACAGCTTTTAAGGATGTTCTTAGAAATTACATACGGAAAGCTAGAGACCAAGTTCTTGTTATGAATGCCATAGAGGTGAGTATTATTGTCTCATTCTTAATCTTGATAGTTATTATTATTAGTATTAATGTAGATGATGATTATTATTATTATTATTGTGGGGAGGGTGCTTAACCTGTTAGATCATGTAGCGCCTGGGGAATGAAGGTATTATTTATATTATTATTATTATTATAATCATGGGGGAAGTGCTAAACGTAGGATTATAGTGCTTGTGAGGGGGGGGGGATGAAAGGTATTTGGGCTTAATTCAAGGAACAGGAGCACAGATCCATTTCCCTAGATCAAGAACCCCTCACTAGCATCAAGGAACCTTCCTTGAGGGGAGGGAATGAAGGTAATCAAGTTTGATCTAAGAGAAGCATCAAGTCACCCCTAAACTTGAATGGTGATAGTTCATAATTTTTTTTAATTTTTTTTCAACAAGTCGGCCGTCTCCCACCAAGGCAGGGTGACCCAAAGAGAAAGAAAATCCCCAAAAAGAAAATACTTTCATCATCATTCAACACTTTCACCTCACTCACACATAATCACTGTTTTTGCAGAGGTGCCCAAAATACAACAGTTTAGAAGTATATACGTATAAGAATACACAATATATCTCTCCAAACTGCCAACATCCCAAACCCCTCCTTTAGAGTGCAGGCATTGTACTTCCCATTTCCAGGACTCAAGTCTGGTTATATAAAATAACCGGTTTCCCTGAATCCCTTCACTAAATATTACCCTGCTCACACTCCAACAGATCGTCAGGTCCCAAATACCATTTGTCTCCATTCACTCCTATCGAACACGCTCATGAACACTTGCTGGAAGTCCAAACCCCTCGCCCACAACACCTCCTTTACCCCCTCCCTCCAACCTTTTCGAAGACGACCCCTACCCCGCCTTCCTTCCCCTACAGATTTATACGCTCTCCATGTCATTCTACTTTGATCCATTCTCTCTAAATGACCAAACCACCTCAACAAACCCTCTTCAGCCCTCTGACTAATACTTTTATTAACTCCACACCTTCTCCTAATTTCCACACTCCAAATTTTCTGCATAATATTTACACCACACATTGCTCTTAGATAGGACATCTCCACTGCCTCCAACTGCCTCCTTGCTGCAGCATTTACAACCCAAGCTTCACACCCACATAAGAGTGTTAGTACTACTATACTTTCATACATTTCCTTCTTTGCCTCCATAGATAACATTTTTTGCCTCCACATATACCTTAATAAAATTATTCTTATTATTACATACATAGGGGATCACTAAACCCATACAACACCTATGGAATGGAAGGGTATTCAGACTCAGTTCAAGTAATTGGAGCATAGGTCAATAATAAATAATAATAAAATAGTTTGGAAGTTGAGAAATCACAACTGTCCAGGGATGTATAGTGCTTTAAAGTGAGATAAGTGCTTTAAACACTTGTCAGTGAACAGAAAAGTCCCAGATGCTCAGAAAATGAAACACAAAAGTAGGAAGAATCTGTATATTGTGCCTTGATGCTAGCAAGTGGCTCTTGATCCAGAGAACTGTAGCTACCCTCCCTTTCCTTACATTGAATATGACGAACAATAAGGCACAGGATTGTGACTGAAATAATACTGAAACATTGTCATAAAGTTCGTCTCCTATGTGAGGGTTATTTGTGTATTTAATATGATTGTCTCTCATTCCTCAGTTATTAGTATTATTATCATAGGGGAGCACTAAACTCATAGGATTATACAGTGCCTGGGGGGAGGGCAATGGAAGGTATTCAGACTCAATTCAAGGAACTGAAGCACATCCAATTCCCTAGATCAAGAGCCCCTCACCAGCATCAAGGAACCTTACTTGAGGGGCCCATTCCTCAAGCACTCAAGACACCTACATAGTGTTTTCCTTTGAAATGTGATAGATAAAATGGAACTCCAGTAAATAAATGTTTTGCACACCAAGAGATTTACTGGGAGAAAAATCTAAATTTTTCTCCCAGTAAAATAATGATACGAGGGTAATCTAAATGCTTTATCCTGCCGTACTCTCACTGTATGACCCATACAGGTTTAGCACTTGCCTTTACATACTGTGCAATAAGACCTTTCATAGCTCTTTGCGAGTTCTTACTGTTATAGTAATAATTAGACCTGTATGACTTGTGGGTTTAGTGCTTAGTTATGATAATAATAATTAGTGTAGTGTATTCTCAGTTATTATGTTTATCATCTTTAGTTTCCTTCATGTTTTCTGAATCAGTTTATCAAACTAGTAAAATTATTTTCATTTCTTTAGAACAAGAGGATCTGTGTAGATATTTCCCAGAACAGTTCTCAGCACATACTTCCAGAGTACAAAAATGTCAGCATATATTTCTCAAAGACTTATTCAGTACAATAAATGTTTTGCTGCTTATTGTATGATATGTGTGGGGAATATTTGCAGTTGCTGATGACAGAGTCACCCAGGTACCTACCAGTGGCACAAAAAATATTCTTCGAACTCAACCAAAGTTTTGAAATTCTGGATGACGAGGTTGTGATCCATTGGTTCAAGAAAGGCGGTGCTGCCACCTCTGCTTTTCCTTCACTTAAAAATGCTGTGAGTATGATCAGAGCATTATACCTGTTCTAACTTACGTTTCTCCTGTTATGATGCACCAAACTTTATAAGAACTTGAAAATGGAGAAAATACATTGTTTTCCATACTGATGTAAGATTTACATTCTTGGTGTTCCAAGTTAACCATAAACATCTGCTGCTGCATTTATTTTTTCTTAGTTGGTGCTTTACTAGATGTATCAAAGTACAGAACCACTAGGACAGAAACATGAAACATAGATCAGCAGGTCTGAGGTCAAAACTCCTAGGTCTCTTATACAGTTACACACCATTTAGGCAGTAGATAGTAATCACGGAGTATCCTCCTTTTTCTTGAGTCATATTGGATTACATCCTTTTCCCTTGTAATGCTACAGTATTGGGAGATAACTTTGATCCTATAGTATATTCAGTAGTAGAATCAATGATCTAATGTCATTTGTAGTTACAGTCAGGTGTGTCAGTGATATAAGATTGGATGTAGTTGTGTGCATAACCTCAAGAGTTCATAGGATTAGTTTGAAAAGAATATTGCAATCAATATGATCAGTTTAAAAACTGTAGTGTAAAGCACCCTTCTGGCAAGACAGTGATGGAGTGAATGATGGTGAAAGTTTTTCTTTTTCGGGCCACCCTGCCTTGGTGAGAATCGGCCAGTGTGTTAATTTAAAAAAATATAGTATGATCAGAAACCTTTTGTATGTTCTAATCTACAAGAATCCTGTTAAAGGCTGTTAGGTAAAAGGCCAAGTGCAACTAATGCAACATTTATATTGTGGCAACATTTCGTTCTCCAGGAGCTTTCTCAAGCTGTTAAAGGCTGCATTATTATATATCATACTGCATGACCCTTGTCAGTTTAGCGCTTTATTTGATTATAATAATTATATATCACAGCACGTGAAGGGAGAAAAGTTAACCGATGTTAACCCAAGGCTCTCCCCTCAAGGAAGGTTCCATTATGCCAGTGAGAGAGACTTAATCCAAGAAAGTGGACCTGTTTTACCATTCCTGTGGATGCTTTGTAACCCTTACATGTTTAACACTTGACTCTAGAATGCAGGGAAGAGAGATACATGATTATATACACTTAGAAAATCCTAGAGGGATTAGTACCAAACTTGCACACGAAAATCACTCCCTATGAAAGCAAAAGACTTGGCAGATGATGCAGCATCCCCCCAATGAAAAGCAGGGGTGCCACTAGCACGATAAGAAACAACACAGTAAGTGTCAGGGGCCCAAGACTGTTCAACTGCCTCCCAGCATACATAAGAGGATTACTAATAGACCCCTGGCTGTCTTCAAGCAGGCACTGAACAGGCACCTAAAGTCAGTACCTGACCATCTGGGCTGTGGTTCGTACGTTGGGTTGTGTGCAGCCAGCAGTAACAGCCTGGTTAATCAGGCCCTGATCCATCCAGAGGCCTGGTCACAGATTGGGTCGTGGGGGCATTGACCCCGGAACCCTCTCCAGGTATACATCAGGAAATAACAGTAATAATATGCAAGTCTCATGTATTCACAAAAAGTGCTAATATCTTATGACTCACTGCTGCTTTTTTTTATAAATAGATAACACAAAAATAATTTAATACAAATTGAAATTGCATGTTTAGGTACAGTGGTACCAACTCATTTATATGGGTGTCAGGCTTGGGTTTTAAACATTGTAATAAGGAGACTGGAGGCAGTGTATGGTGTGAATATAATGCAGAGAATTTGGAGCTTGGAGATTAGGTGTCAGGTTACCAAAAGTATAATTCAGAGTACTGAGGAGGGGTTGTTGAGTTAGAGAACTTAGGGAAGATGCAACAAAATAGGATGACTAGTACAGTATATAAATCTGGGATGGAGAGAGGTTTTGAGGTCTGTGAGTTTGGACACCCAAAAACTTGGTGTGAGCTCATTAGATGGGATTGAGGTAAGTGGTTTTTGTCCTGACATGTTGGAATATCATTTATTACTTTCATTTGTAAGAATGTAGGTAAATAGAGTTTGTTCTTTAATAAAATTCATATTTGTCAACCATAGCCTGTTCACTTCCTGGGTCTGTCAGTAATAATCTATTATTTTTTGCAGATTGAAAGATTTGTAGTGTGGTTGGAGCAGGAAGAAGAGAGTGATGATAGTGAAGAGCAAGATGATTAGTACATGAACCTTCTCAAGACTGTTATGCTTCCTTTTCGTGCCAAGTAAAGGGCTCTTGATTCAACAAATTAGAGCTACCCTCCCTTATGACTCACGAAATTGTAGTAACACTATTGTAAACAAACAAAGGAACAGGTGGGGGATTCGAACCCACAGTGAGTGAGTCATAAAACTCAGCTGAGTGGTTTACACACTGGGCTGGAGTTTCGAGACTCGCCAGAGGTTCAAACCCCACCCGCTCCATGGTTTACCCTACCTTAGCGTAGATAAAATCTAACTGCTCTCCATTCTCCAAGGTGCTGGTATGACCTTTATAGGTTTAGTGCTTCCACATGAATAATAAAATACTTGCTTTTGACTGTATCAAAAATACATTAGAAAGATTGAATTAGCAGTTTCATATTTATGTATACCAAGAGGTAAAAAATGAGAATATGTTTCTAGGAAAGAAGTGAGCATAGCAATTATTACCACTAAATTATATTTAAGAAAATGTAAAGTAATAATTATAAACACATGAAGGTCATAAAACCCCTGAGGAACAGAAGGTAAATAAATCAGATCCAAAGAAGGGAAAGGTAACTTTTAAGACTTTGAATTAAGAGGTCTTTATTGGCATCAAGATCTCCATACCCTTTGAAGAAGACTGTTATATACTCCTAAAAATAAAACTATTACAAATATTCAATGTCTGTAGATCTTCCTTCAACCAGAATAAAAAAAAAGCCAGTTATAGCACTTTTTCAGGTAGCATATCTTGAAACAGAAAATTTGTCATATATTTACTTCATTAAACAAAGACTTGTCATTTACAATAAATAAAATTTTACAACACAAAAATGTGAATTTTTTTTTTTTACATACTAAATGGCAGATGAAATTCCACTAATTATGAAAACCTTAAATTAATATAAATAACATTTAGAATAATGGATGAGCATTATTTCATAGCATACAACTGAAATGCAGAATATGTAAACTAATACATTACACACCCAGCTGTCAGAGATGAATAATTATTCTGTCTTAAATTAAAAATAAAGCTTATAAAGTAGGTCAAACCTTAAGTGAAGAAACTTGTTTGTTTCATAATTAAAATTGCACTACAAACTTGATCTGCTCCTTGCAGGGCCTCTGCTACGAGTCTTTCGTGAAGTCACTCCACGAGTGGAACTTTCTGTAGCTGTTGACTTAACAGGATTGCTCTCAATTTCAACCACAAGTGGGCCAATACTACGTCGAGATCGCAAACCTGTTCCTCCTGTTAATGTGAAGGTTCTTGTGACAATACCTTGTTGGCGTGATTGAGAACTGGTGGAGCTTGTACCAGTTGTGGTAGATGAGGTATTAGAGGGCGTGCTGGTAGCGAGAACCAGTGTGGTGTTAGTGGGAGTTGTAGCAGTGGTGGTGGTGACAGTGGATGTCAGCGGCAACATATTTGTATTTGTAGTGTCAGTAGTTGTGGCTGAGGAATGAGGAACAAGTGGTTGGTGAACATCTTTATCATCAGTAGAAGCCTTTTGATTGCTTGTTACTGTGTGTTCATGTTCTGTGGTGGCTACTACTGCTGTTACTGATGAAGGACTTGCTGAAGTGTCAGTTGCTACTGAGGAACTGTTAGTACTTTGATATGTATTGGAATTATTATCTGATGGTGAGACTGTATTTCTTGCTCTCTCGCTCATCTCAGATGCTGCAACTAGCAGAGCTAATTCTCCTGTTGGAACACTGGAAGGTGTGGTGGAGGTTGAAGTGGGTGTGGAATGTACTAGAGCAGTTGAGGGTGCAGATGCAGTGGAACATACAAGTGTTGTAGAGGTGGCAAGAGAGGTTGCAGGTGTTATAGGGGCTGTGTGTGTGGTAAGGGTGGAGGAAGCTAGAGTTACGTGATTTGGCGTCGTTACGAGCATCACTGTAGGCCGGCTCGTGTTCAAAGTCCGAGTGGTGGCAATAGTGCGAGCAGTGTGAGCCACAATGGGTCGTACCAAGCGAGGACTAGAGGTTAATATCACCCTGCTGCGTCCACCACTCACTATGCTACCTGCCCCACTAACGCCTCCAGCACTCACTACCACAGGCCCAACACCCAAAGACAGAGCAGAACTCTCTGAAATAACTGTTCCATTGCCAGAGGACATTCCCATTGTATTTGTAATAACCATGGAGGGGCTAGCCATGCGGACTGCAGATGAAGAATTTACATTGGTGAGGAGAAATGAGGCAGCTGATGTCTTGGGGCTGCCAGAGTACACTCTCACACCAGTTCCACCTCGAGGGCTCAGTGGACTACCTACTTCAAAAAAAAAAATTGAGGTCAATAACCTGCTACTGTAGACCATTTGCCTTAAATACATTATATACAGCCTCTCCTCACTTAATGATGGAGTTACATTGGTAAACAAATTCGTCACTAAGCAAGGAGCATACTATAATGGTAGTGGATTTGTGTCAAGCATCTTTGATATTTTTTTAATGTCACCTTTGCACCATTTATAACATTTTAGTGTATTTTTAAATGTTTATACAGTAGTGTACTGTATATTGTAATAAACAGAATAGAGGAAATCAGCTCTAATATACATTATTTATGTATGCATACTGGTCAAAAAGCCTGTCATAAGCACGAGTCGTCAGTAAACAAGCAAATCGCTAGGTGAGGAGAGGCTGATAGGGGCTTTCTGTAAACACCCAAATGTCATTCCCCTTTGTACAAACATTGTATCATGATGAAAAATAAAGTATTACTATTTAAAAGGAGTACTTATGCTTACATTAATATACTAATTGTTTTCTTTGAAAATATTTAAATTCTATGAAACATTCACTTTGATAAAAGTACGATTCTTTACTGAGTACTTGGATAATTAGCAAACCCTCAATTTAACATACCTTGGAAATAAAGGACAAAATACACAGGGTCAACTGTTTCAAAAATAATGGGAAAAGTCCTTTGGTACAGAAATATCTACACATTATTGTTACGATGGCCAAAGCTCTTGTGGTTATCCACCACAATCACCATTACAGTTACTCCCTACTCCTATTAGTCTGATAAACTTAATTTACTTTTAAGTTGTCCTGTTCCAATATGCAAATGTTACCTAGGAATAATAAAGTGAGTGTCCTATAGCCCCCAGCCCTTCCTTTTTTTTTTTTTTCTAAACTCTCACTGCAATATTTCTTGGTCCTCTTCATTTTGTCAAACCAAAAATACTCTTAACCCTTTGAGGGTTTTCATCGTACTAGTACGTTTTACGCGTAGGGGTTTTTGACGTACTAGTACGCATAAATTCTAGCGGCCTCAAATCTAGTGGGAGAAAGCTGGTAGGCCTTCATATGAAAGAATGGGTCTATGTGGTCAGTGTGCACAGTCTAAATAAAATCCTGCAGCACACAGTGCATAATGAGAAAAAAAAAACTTTGACCATTTTTTTAGAATAAATCAGCGACTTTGCAGTGTATTTTCGTATAGTATTTATTGTTGTATTCTAGTTTTCTTGGTCTCATTTTATAGAATGGAAGACATGTTACAGAAATTGAGATGATTTTGGCTGGTTTTACAAAGAAAGGTGCCTTGAAATTGAGCTCAAAGTAGCAGAAATGTTCGATTTTTACCAAACTTCAAAAGTAAACAAATCGTGCCAAGCGTGCAATACACGTCAACTGGTGAGTCTAATATTCTTTCACAAGTGCACCAATAATATTTATACCATTTTTTACACTAATGCAGTAGTCTGCATAACAGTAAATCTTATATTTTTTGTGAGAATAAAAATTCAAAATGGAAAGCAAAAGAATATAAGAGGGGCCTTGAGACGTGACTAATGACTAGAGGAAATGTCATTTTAGTGCCAGGAATGTCTTTCTTGTTTATTCTGGACCCTATTCGGAAATTGGCATCTTTTGAAATTTGTGTGAAATTGGCAAAATTGCTAAATTCTGACCACTGTACTGGATAGTTGAATTTCATAAATGGGTGGTTTCTTGCACCCATTCGATAGAAAAAATGGAGTTCTAGCGAAATATTCATGTTTTTTGTCGACTAGTACAGCAAAATTGGCCGAAAATGGGGCTCAAAGTGGGCAAAATCGCCGATACGTAAACATCGCCGAGGCCGCTAACTTTGCGAGAGCATAATTTCGTAAGTTTTCTATCAAATTTCAAACTTTTGGTGTCTTTATGATCGGGAAAAGATTCTCTATCTTTTCATAAGAGAAAATAATTTTTTTTTTTTTAAATTTGGCCGACCCTGAGAACGAGTTTCGGAAAGGGCCTGTCGACCCTCAAAGGGTTAAAAGATGATGTATATTTTTACACTTTTTCTTTAAATAATATTTCTAAACATTTTCATTTCTGCTCACTTGAATCTGCGTCAAATAACGTCCTGCTTGATGATTAAACAACCACTGGAATGCAAATGCAGGGCAGAAGAGATTCAGTAACATTTGGATTACCAGTGTTGTATACCTGTGATCAAACAACAGCTGGCTTGCATGGTTAAACTTTTGACTTTCGGTCATATACAGTGGAACCTCAAAAATCGAACGTATCACATATCGAATGTTTCGAAAATAGGACCATTTTTTCGGACAAACTGTGTCCCTATTATCGAACGCGCCCCTATTTTCGGACCGCCGGGTACAGGACCTGTCTACCGCATGCTCTGTCCGCGTTCCCGCGCAGGCGCCATGAGCAGTCTAGCTTTGTTTATGCTTGAGTGAACACTAACCTGCGCTCTCATTCACGCATTTTACGATTATTTTGTTGTGTTTAGTGCTTGTGGGACTGTGAAATAAGCTGCCATGGGCCCAAAGAAACTTGCTAGTGCTACCCCTGTGGTAAAGAAAGTGAGGAACACCATAGATGTGAAGAAGGAAATAATACAGAAGTATGAGAGTGGTGTGAGACTTGTTGAGCTTGCCAGGATGTATGGGAAAAACAAGTCGACCATCGGTTCTATCCTGTCAAAGAAAGAACAAATCAAGGAAGCTGATGTTGCGAAAGGTGTTAATATAGGGAGTGGATGAGGTGCCTTCTTCAAAGATTAAGGAGATTTGTGTCAAGTGGAATGATGTCCAAATGTTTGTGCAGAAGTACCACCCTGAGCAAGCTGAAACAAGCCATCTTTGCAACAAGTTCAGTGACAGAACCATGTCCCATTTTAGGGAAATGTTAAAGAGGCACCAGAAACAGAGGACTGTGGACAGTTGTTTTGTGAGACAGGGGTCCAGTGACTCTCAAGCTGGTCCTAGTGGCATTAAAAGACAGAGAAGGGAAGTAACCCCAGAGAGGGCTTTACCTGAAGTCCTCATAGAGGGGGATTCTCCTTCCAAACACTAACCCCAACTCCCTCTCTCCACCCTATCTTCCAGATGCCATCACCAATCTTCAATACAGTGGACCCCCGGTTAACGATATTTTTTCACTCCAGAAGTATGTTCAGGTGCCAGTACTGACCGAATTTGTTCCCATAAGGAATATTGTGAAGTAGATTAGTCCATTTCAGACCCCCAAAACATACACTCACAAACGCACTTACATAATTGGTCGCATTCGGAGGTAATCGTTATGCGGGGGTCCACTGTAAAGGTAAGTAAAAATGTTATTTTATATGTATTACTATACATAATTAAAAACTATAGTATTTGTTGTATGTAAAACTGTAATTAATCTCTATAAAATGTATTTTTTGTGTGAATATTTTTGGGTTTCTGGAACGGATTAATTGTATTTCCATTATTTCTTAGGGGAAATATTGCTTCGAATTTCAGACTTTTTGAATTTAGAACTAGCTCCTGGAACGGATTAAGTTCAATATTTGAGGTTCCACTGTAAATACATTTTATGAGCCACTGTGTTTGACGTATATACATGTATACTCAAAAATTCTAGCGGCTTCAAATCAAGCAGGAGAAAGCTGGTAGGCCCACATGCAAGAGAATGGGTCTGTGTGGTCAGTGTGCACCATATAAAAAAAAAATCCTGCAGCACACAGTGCATAATGAGAAAAAAAAACTGACCTTGTTTTTGGATTAAAATGCCGACTTTGAGGTGTATTTTCGTATAGTTTTTATGGCTATATTCTCGTTGTCATAGTCACATTTGATAGAATGGAAAACATTTTATAGAAATAGGTGTGATTTTGATTGGTTTTACTGTGAAAAGGACCTTGAAATGGAGCTCAAATTACGGGAAATGTTTGATTTTTTGCCGATTTTCAGAGTATACAAATGACCCAATAAATTGTCCAACTAGCCATCTGATATGCAGTCAAGACTGGGTTGATGTTATTTATACAATTAATTACAATATTGCAGTAGTCTGAATAACAGTAATCTTCCTATTTTTTTGTTTGAATAAAATTCCAAAACAGAAAACAAGAGTAATATCGAGGGCCTGGAGATGTGACAGAAGAACAAAGAAAATGTTATTTAGAGCCAGGAATGCTGCAATTGCTTATTCTGGAACCCTATATGAACTAGCAAATTTTTTTGATTTGCGTGAAATTGGCCAAATTAACCAATTTCTGGACCACTTAATTAGGTAGTTGAAATCGGTAAATGGGCAGTACTTGTACTCAAGTCGATAGAACAAATGGAGTTCTAAAGAAAAGGTTTATGAGTTTTGGTTACTGGACAATGGAAGTAGGCAAAAATAGGGCACAAAGTGGCGAAAAATCGTCAATTCGTAAATATCGCCAAAATCAATAACTTCGCGAGATCATAATTCGGCAAGTTATTTTTCCATCACATGTCGACTTTCAGTGTCATTACCATCGGGAAAAGATTAATCCATTTCATAATAAAAAATAATTTTTTTTTTCCAAATATTTGCGACGACCAGGAGAACCTCAGGATTTGGGGTTTCGACAGGAAAGGGTTAAGCATCTGCAAGTGTACTGGAGCTGTATATCCTCAAGTTAAGGAACTGCTGGCCTACCAGTTTCAAGCTTAGTGTTTGCTGTATATTCATGGTTCAGCAAATTGCTGTTTACATATTACAGAACCCATGATAAGCACTGCTTTTTTAACTGGTGGCATATACGCTGTGATTAAGCACTGCTGCTTACTAGTATGTATAACCCCTCCATTTAACCCTTATTCAGGTCCATGCCGAAGATCTATGGCTTATAACGATCAGGGTCCAAACGAAGATCTACGCCATGAGCTCAGCTCACTCTGATAAGCAGTGACAGTGGTAAATTTGGGCCTAGATATGAGAAATACATCTATGTTGTATGTGTGCACGCACATAAAACAAATCCTGGAGCACACAGTGTATAATGAGAGAAAA